CTAGGCTGCATCATGTTTCTGCCTTCCTTAAAAGCAAGAAATTTCCATCTCTTCTTCTAATTTTGTGGTTCCCTCTCTGTCCATCCAGCCACAGATCAAGACATTCAGTAGTGGTTCTGGAGGAGCTGCTGTGGAAATGCAGGGCAGAAGTCTACTTCTCCAGAAGAGTTCATCCAATCCTGTGAATACTGGAATTATGAAGTTTCAATAGGTACAAAATAGAGCTGCCAGGTTGCTGACGGGGACGGGGTGTTATGCTCACATGACTCCAGTCCTCCATCAGCTTCACTGGCTTCCCATTGAAGCCCGGGCCCAATTCAAGGTGTTGATTATGACCTATAAAGCCCTAAACGGCTTGGGTCCTGGCTACCTGAACGAGCGCTTACGTCCGTATATGCCCGACCGCCCTTTGAGATCTGCGGGAGACTCCCTTCTCCGGGAACCCTCCATGAAAGAAATTAGGAGAGTAAGTACCCGGAGGAGGGCTTTCTCTGCGGTGGCACCCAACCTATGGAATTCACTCCCCAAAGAGGTCCGCCTGGCACCGTCGTTACTGGTTTTTCGGCGCCAGGTAAAGACCTTTTTATTTAAGCATCATTTCAATTGTTAAAACATATGATCTGGCCAGGGCAACTTGTTCTTCCTTCTCTTTCTCCTCCTATATTTTTATTTTATACTGATAATTTTAATTTTATATTTGTAAATCAATGTATTTTTTGTATTTTTGTATTTAATGGTAATTTATTATGTACTATTGTATTTCAATGTATTTTATCATGTTGTAAGCCGCCCCGAGGTTTCGGCAAGGGGCGGCATAGAAAAGTTATAATAATAATAAAATAATAATAATAATAAGAGAGGACAGATGAATAAAGAGAGGTGAATGAAAAGATGTAGTAAGAGCGACATAAGAGGAAGTAAAGCAGTTCCTAAGAATCTTGTTCGGGACAGAAATTGGAGGGTAAAATAACTGACAATATGAAGAAATAAAGTAACTGTGAAGAACCTTAAATTCATACCAAAATGCATCCTTTTGGCTATATAGAAAACAAAGCTTCCATATTCCTTCAATAATATAAACTATCTCTACTGACTATAAAATTGTTCCAAGGTGGCATCTGCTATGACAAATTCAAGTGATGAGCAGATAAATAAACAAAAAGAAAATATCAACTCCTTACCCAAGTTCATCAAGCAAGGCTTGTGGGGTCCAGTGAAGGTTAAGCGGTCAGGAACAATGAAGGACAGAGAAGCAATGGCTCCAATCATGAGATCCCCCAGCTGTGGATACTTATGAAGTGGAGGCTGTGGTTCATAGATCTTGCATTTTTCAGCATCAGCCTTGCTGGCTATTTGGAGAAGCAGGCTCAGCAACACCACTCCTAATTCCCCCATGGGAAGTGGAAGGTCAAAACTTTGCTCTTCATGCAAACCCACTTGTTCTCATATTGGATACTGAGATTACAAATGTAGGCTCTTTCAGTGCAGTGGCTGTCATTAATCCCTATGACTAAAGATCACTGTATATATTGCCATCATCTTTGACAGCCTAGCTGAGTTGTTTTATTCATTCGAAATCTACAGGGCTTTGAGTAGTAACAGAAATGCCTTTTAAACAATTGAAGGAGAATAAAGCAATTTGATGTCAACACTTGAAGTTGAAAACATGTGTTGTTTTCTACACTAGTTTCAGAACACATTTCTTTTAGTTCTATCTATGAATTGGGAAGAAGTCTTCAGAAAGGAAAGCAGAACTATGAGGGTACTGACACCGTTCATTCTAAACCTCACTGGAATTTTTGCTTGTACTGTGGAGCCAGTGTGCTCCAAAGTTGATCCTAACTTTGCAGGTATTACCTTTACAATATTCTCCCTCCATCCCCTGCCAATGGAATCTGTCCACTCAAACTGAATTTCTGGAAGCACATTAACAGTTGTGTAAGGGATGGAAATTTAATTCCCCACTCCTTCTGTGTTGTGGTCCCAGTGTAAACTGGAAATAATCCACTTATTAGGTGCAGCAGAAATCTTTAAATTATTGTGTAAGCAATTGAGTTGTCCGCTATTGTGTGTATGTGTGTGTGACTGGATGCTTTCCATGGATTTTGGAATCCTTTTTCATGGGCTCACAAACCTATTTTCCCTTTCATACATACTTATCTGATTTGCAAACCTTATTCTTCCTTCAGCACTCAGAAACAAAACATCCCAGAATTGACCATCAGGCTATGTGTGCATGTGTATGTGACCCATTACTTCCGGAGGATTTTGGATTCCTATTTAATGGGCCAATACAGCTGGCTTTACTTATGTACAGATTTATGTGATTTGCCTACCTCATTGTTCCTTCAGAATTCAGAACCAAAACAATATTATCTACCCATTTTCTGGTTAGATGAGCTCATGGACTCAAAGGGGTTGCTTATCCCCATATTATGCTTGCCTAGATGCTGAAGGCATCTGCATACATACCAGACTGGAAAAAGCAGAATCCATTCTCATTTTGCCAATCCACACCTGTCAATGTATTCACCTGTAGGACTCATGAAATTCTCCAAATTGATTTCTAGCAGCTATGACAACTGGAATGAATTTGACAGTCTGAACAGAAGAGCATGAGATCCCAGGGGGCATTAGAAAATGGCAAGCCAGTTGGTTCAATGGTTCAATGGTTCAATGGTTCAATGGTTCAATTATATGAAACATAATTCTCAAGGATATAGAACATTAAGTCTTGCTGGGAAAGAATAAAGATAACATGTACATGGGTAATTACTCTTTCTTCAATTTAAAGGGATACATTACAGTAACAATGAGCATAGGGAATGGTGTGAAACTGCAGACATTGTTTATGTGGGGTTTGAAAAGCCCTTGACAAACTCCTCACCAAGGAGAACTCCTGTTCTGCACTGGTAACAGGTTTGAGGTAACTTCACTAGTACAGGGATGATGCCTGAGCTGGTGGTGAGATATTAAGAAAATCCTGGTGGAGGCATGTTGGGTAGCCAATGAAAGCATCAAGTCAGTGTGCAGCAGCTGTCAAGAAGCCCACTTCTAAGTTAAAGATCACTCTGAAAGGGAGCCAATATCATAGTGACCCTAATCCATCCTTGTAGAAGTGGGGTTACTGCTCTCCTGATGTCCTCTGGTTTTCCATGTTTTCATGACTGGCGACTGGGAGAAATAGAATGTTTCACTGGAGAGGTTCCTGGAATGAATCTGCACTGATTTTCTGACCTACCTGTGTCCTGACAAAGCTGAAGCCACTACTCCTGTGGAACTTTCTGATTAATTATGCTTCTTTTTGCACTCAGGAGTTTCCTGTTCAGAAAACATGCAGACTACTGGAAAACCCCTTGTAACTCAGAGCCTCTGCCCACAAAGTGATTAAAGAGGCTATCTTCCCTCCATCACTCAATTCCATCACTGAAATTGGCAGCATTTGTTCTAATTGACTTGGTAGCCCTTCTTCCAGTAGCCCAGAGGGGTAGCAGAAAGTCCAACAAGAGAACATTAAGAGGACAGGAAGGGGAGAGTTGACTCAATTTCTCTTAGGTTTAAATCCCAAGGGAGGTGAGGGATAACCAAAGGTCCATTGCACTAGGGATGCTGCAGACAATCACCTTGAACTTTGCCTAAATATACCATGCAGGGGAGAAAAGTCACAAGCCTCCAATGTTCTCCTTCTGTGCAAAGTGGCATCTTATTAATGGTAGAACCCATCAAACTGCTCCCCTCTCACACTCCTGTTGCATCAATCTAACCATGCATACAAGGTGATTATGAATTTATTATGCCCTGGTTTTCCTTTCCTTCATCCTACACCAGATTAGTGGCCAGGGCAGGAACAGCTGTATTGGAAAAGGGAGAATAAAGCCTGGGATCGGCACAAGCAGAAGCACCCAGCATCCGGTGGAGGGGTGGGAGGGGCAGTGGGCAGGGGGAAGCAGCGGGCAGGGGGAAGCAGCGGGCAGGGGGAAAAGAACAGGGAAGCAGGAGGAGAAGCAGGAGGAGGAGGAGAAGGAGGAGGAGGAGATGCAGGCGCAGGCGCAGGCGCAGACACAGATGCACAGCCAGACAGGAGCAGCAAGGGCAGGCCCTGCACCCTAGACATGCAGCTCCCCATAGCCCCAAAGGCAATGCCACTCTTTGCCCTGGAATAAGAGAAAGGAATAATCCAGGTGAAGTGAGGGCTTTGGTGCATCAGCTGTCAAATAAACAAAGTACAAATAAAAGGTCCTGCAGGGTGAGATTTCTTTTCTGTGATTTTTACATGGAATAAGGCGCCTTCAACATGCCCCTTCCTCAGCTGCATAACTCTCCAAAAGGAGCAAGTCCACTTCTTTGAGTGAAGGTTTCTCCAAAAACATGAAATTTTAAAGACAAAACGTCTACAGAAATACGTCCTGAAGCAAAAAACATAAAACATAACCAGCAAAACATACATGTTCAAAAACTTAAATTTTTCACAAAATTCTCCTTATTGGATGTTCCTTCTTGTTCAACTTGGATCTCAGCAAAATAATTTAATTATGTAATGTAAAAATAAAAAAAATTAAAAGCAAATGCAAGGAAGCTGAGCATAGAAGTAAAATGAAGCTAATAATGTCAACAGAAGATGACTTAAAGAATTAAACCAAGTATGGAAGTCTTACTATAATCAATTTAAATAATGGTTAAAGGAAATCTGTCCCCCTGTAAGTACACTGTGCCTTCCTCAGTGGATAGGCTCCACAAAATCAAAATGCTCTGTCATGATAGATTTGCATGTGAAGGATACGTTTCAATCCACCTGCAGGACATTCAAACAGGAGCTGAGCCACTTCTTTCAGTGAAGCATTGTCTAAACTAAGAAGCAATTGGAAAACTGTAGGGATCACAAGATTGACTCTGAAAGAAAAACTATTTGCATGACTTTGTCCCTTGGAAAAAAACACAGAATAGAGAAAAACAAAAATATAGTTACACAGGTGGATTGCAAACTACTGGCAGGTAAACGTTCAAGCTCTTCTTCTTACTAGATGTTCTTTCTTGTTCAATTCGGGTCTCAGCAAAATGATGTAGCATTTGGGGAAGAAGTTGCAAACCAGCAGGCCAGAACTGGAGGCTAAGATAGAAAAGATCTCTACAGTCACCAAGTATTTCCCTTTGGTGCTCAGGTAGGAAGGCACAAAGGATAACCAGACACTGCAAAAGACCAACATGCTGAAAGTGATATACTTGGCCTCATTGAAAGTGTCTGGGAGTTTCCTGGCAAGGAAAGCCACCATGAAGCTGACCATAGCCATGAAGCCCAGATAGCCCAGGACACAGTAAAACAGCGTTATGGATCCCTCATTACATTCCAGGATGATTTCTTCAGCTACTGAATGCTTGTCAAGATCTGGAAAAGGAGGAGAAGTTGCCAACCAGGCAAGACAGATGGCTGCCTGAAGAAGGCAGCAGGACAGAAGGAGGGTGTTGACCAGTCGCTTCCCTATCCACTTCCTCATTTTGCATCCTGGTTTGGTGGCTCTGAAGGCTAAAACCACCATGACCGTCTTTGTGAGTATGCAGGAAACTGCCACTGAGAAGATGATGCCAAAAGCAGTTTGTCGCAGGAGACACGTCACCTGGTGCGGCCGGCCAATGAAGAGCAGTGCACAAAGTAAGCAGAGCAGGAGGGAGACAAGGAGAGTGTAGGTGAGTTGCCGGTTGTTGGCTTTGACGATGGGCGTCTCGTGATGTTTCAGAAAGATTCCTAGCACCAGAGCCGTTATTAAGCAGAAGAGAATAATGAAGGATGTTAAAGTGAAGCCCAAAGGTTCTTCATAGGAAAAGAAGTTCACTGACTTTGGAATACAGAAATCCTGGTGCTTGCTTGGGTATTTTCCATCTTCACATGAATAACAGTAATGCATATCTGAGGAAAAATAAATACATGCATATTCCATAATTCAACTGGTCCCACTAACAGGGTGCATTAACTTCTCAGATGAATTGTTTCCTACTCAAAGTAGAGAATCCATTAATTTCATTGCATCCTCATTTGTAAAATCTCAAGGATATTCCACTCTGAATTTGAAGAAATTGTTGGCCCTCCTATTACAAACATATTAAAAAGAAATTCTCCCCCACCCACACAAACAAATTCAGTAGCTGTTTCCATCATGAAGAGGGCATTACTGTATCAGCCTTCCATAAAGGTGTTGAAAATGAAGAGCCTTTCATGGAACAAGGTTGAGGGGAGCCCTAATCAAGCAATTACTTGCCAGAATACAAAGTGATTTTAAAGCCAGACAATTTTGGGCTAAACCAACATCCAGGGAGATGGATATTTTTCATCCATTTGTGTCTGCACCTCCATTATGAAATGGAGCTCATATGTAGTAATCAGGAATAGCACTTAATCAGATTGTTTGATAAAGCACTCCAGCACTTTATTGGCTGCAACTTCAAAGGTCCAGGGCCTTAAGGCAATAATCGAGCAGACAAAATTCATGCTGATTCCCCACTGTGGGTGACCTGCTCATTCACCGAGGCTATGAGGGAATGTTAAGCCATGCTGTGGGCCCTTCCTGCAATCTAAGGGAGAAAGGTACCTTGAAGCACTCCCCCGGATGTCTTATGTGGTACCCAAGTATGGCCAGTGGGGACACACAACATGCCACAAAATGACAAAATGCCAACAAGGATCCAGGCCAATGGTTCACAGTATAATTAGTGAGCTGTTCTCAAAACTGAACTGAAAGAAAACTCTTTCTCATTCCTAGCCATGTCAATTCCGAAAAATGCCTAAGGCAATATGTTGCACAAAATAGTAAGCAGCTTTGTATGAATGTCTGAATCATCCATTGCACTTGCAGCCAGAAGTCTGAGAGATCCCGACAGCTTTTGCAGGGAAATGTGGGTGGAGTGTGATCTATGCAATGAGTACATTTTTGGGATTGATGGCCTCTATCACAAATAGTCTTGACTTTAGAACAAGCCATATTTATCTGAAAGGGATTTATTTCTCAATAAAACTGCACAGAAATGGGCTGAACTTCAATTAAAGGATAAGGGTGGTTGCAGAACTCAAGCCATATCTTGCCTTGAAATCCTAGACTTAGCAAAATAGGGCTGCGATTGCAGAGATGCACTGACTGGGACCAGAGTCCCTTCATTACCAATAATTTATGAATTATGATCTTTTAGTCTCAACAGAAGAATCTGTGCAAGGGCAAACTCTGAAAGCCTATGTTTCAATATTCAAGGATCAGCCATCCATCCACGGCAGTTGGGTCATTTGAAACAATGGGGACAAACCAGCATGCATGCGCTCTCATGCCCCTACCTCTTCCCTCACTGTTCAGCATCCTCCCCATGGGCCTTCCTGGGCACACTCAATCACACTTCAGTCCCTGAAGAAAGATTGTTTACATGCCTGTTCTTGATATGTTTTAATACATTTGGAACCATTGTACATTCTAATGCCTACCCTTCTTGCCTGAAATCTTCCCTTTGGGACATGGGATGCAATCATAGCAGCAAAATGGCTCCCCTTCCTTGACTTTCTTCCTAGAACCAGGATTGCAGCTCTCACTGCACAGAGATACAGGCTGTGCCTAAGTCATCAGAGGAAGAGAAGAATAAGAATTAGAGAATTATTGGAATCTTTTCCAACTCTGCAATGTCTTTGTAAGTTTCCAAACATTCTGGGTCCTACTTTTCTGTAAATGTACTCTATGATACTTTGGTAAGGTTGAAATTGTATGACCATGTCAGTGAGGGAACCTCTGTGCATATTTCCCACCTTGTAAATCAAATGCAAGTGTGGAGCAAAAATCAGGTTGCAAAATCCCATATGAATGGTTTCATTGACGTATTTCCTTCTGGGTTTGGGAAAAACACTGTTGTTAAAGTTTGCCAAAATTCTTCAAAATTACATTCCAATGTGCTTCAATTTTGATATAACTTTCATCTTCTTTGAAAAACAAGCTATGCATTTCATTCATTTTTTTCCAAAAACATAAATTGTGCATTTACATTTTTTTAAAGTGCACATTTTCTAGTGTGCATTAAAAATTGGGGTTTTTTCCCCAAATGCCATAAATCCATGTATTTGGAAGCATTTATCAAAGCAACCACTCCCTTTTTATTGTTTAAATGGAAATATTCACATGATTTTCTAGAAGTGAAATTGCTGTATGTCCTTTCTCCCTCCATTCCAAACATTTCTATGGGAACAGAGATGAAACCACCAAAAGGGACTGCCACCAGAACATGCTAGAGGTATCTCCATGAACTTAATGGCACCCCCCATCCTTCTTGATTGCTGCTGTGACAGCAAAAAACTGTTGGCCAGAAGCATAGATGGTCCTAAAAGGACAAATTGAACTTTAATATGTGAAGCAGCAGCTTGCATAGCACATCAAGAGCCTGTGCCTACCTGGATGATCTAAAACCTGACACTGCCCCCCAGCGGCCCACCATTCTCTTCCTCTGCTGTAGATACACCCCTCGCTATTGGGCTGGGTCATGGTGTACCAAGTAGACCTAGAATACCAATCAAAAGTAAGTTGAGACAGCTCTACTTTTTCACAGTGATTACACTGGGATTCAAGTTCATCTTAATCTAGAATTGTATAAGTTTCTTTGAGTTCAATGTAAAAAGAGGGATGGAGATCTGATAGAGATAGAGAGACATACATAGAAAGACCAACTGATAGATGATGGATGGATAGATATTATGGAGAGCCAAGTCAGTATCACTGTGGGGATTGTAGAAGTGGTAGTGAAGGAAGAGGAAGGATCCCTTAATCTGTCAGTTTTACTTTCTCTAGCAATGGAATATTTAAACTCTTATTATATCCATCTCAAATAAGAGGAAACTTGCAGTCTTTGATAATTCTTACAAAAAGAAATTAGATTGGAATGAAATTTTTACTCAGCTGTTCTAGGTAAAAAGAAAAGGAACATGCAGTCCCACCTTCCTGCTATGTTAGTACATAAGGATCAGATGCCTGTCTGAGACAAAAGAGGTGGCAAACTTAAGTGATACCTAGCTGGTCCTTCTCACAGAACTTGAGACTTATATTTTTGAAATGTATTCACCAGCATCTCTTCACAGGGATGAACAAAACTTTCTGTTTCCATTTCTTCCACACTCAGATTGTACCTAAGAACAAGTTCTTTCCAACCCAAATAGGAAGACACTTTAAATTCAGTAAAACATTATATAAGGTACATGAAACAACATTGTTTGCTATCCCTAGGAGAGAAGAGAAATAATAAAAGAATGCAGTTTAGAAAGGAATAAAATAAATCACGGTACTTTTTTTCTATAGAGTGGGAATAATATTGGTTATTATTAAAGCAGTTTTGCTGGCTTGCTTGCTTGCTTGCTTTCTCACTCTCTTCCTTTTTTCTTTCTTTCAATGTGCTGTCCTAAGTGTGTAAACTCTGAACATATATTAGCAATTTCATAATATTACCCAGTTTCATAATGAAGGAGAGATAAATTGCAAAGACAATGGGGAAATAATACAATTTTATTATTTTCTTTTTTTTCATTTTACTTTATTTCTTTTCCAACTCTTTCAGCAGGTTAATTCAGCAGCAAAGGAAAGAGGGTGGAAACTTTTTGGTCCTTTTTCATCCTCATTCCCTTCATAAAGTTTTGGGGAATCCAGTTCCAATTGAGAAAATGAAAGAAAACACACATCACATTACTGAGACTGTTATTCAAATGTGTAGTTGGTGCGAAACTGCTAAGAACCAAACCTGATTGAACCAGCTATTCCAAGTTATGGCATCAGGACTGATGGTGAATGCTTGGCCTGGAGAAGCGTGGGCTTCCATCCTCCCAACTCTCACTCTTCGAACAGATTGGTTTGAGAACAGAATCCAGTTGATCAGATTGAATCCAGTTAGTAACTCTCCATTCTCATTAAAAGAAACCTTGTCCCCAGCACTGTTGTTAAGTGAAACAAGCTTCAGAAAATGATGGAGCTGCATTGAAAAGGAAGGAGCTTAGACACACTGTGAAAGGAAAAATGCATACAGGAGGAGAGAAATACATGCACTGGATGACAAAAATTATTCTTATTAACTTTCCTCTATCCCATTTCCTATAAATACTCAATTTAAGGTCATTCAAAGGTTTGACTAAAGTGCTTCTGAGGTGTGAGTCAATTGTCAGCACATTCTATAAATGCAGTTTTAAATGTTCTTGCACACACACACACATAACCAGGACCTTGCAGTTTGGGGAAGAAGTGACATAACCATCTAGTTCAAATGTGAACTGATTGAGTTTCCCATTTTCCCATTTATGTATTTTGTTGTCTACAAAGCTGTGCTTCTCTCACTCATTAGGCTATTCAGCCAATTACCTGCCACTGTACTTGGCTCTGGAATATCCCTCTACTTCTGGTCACTATCCCTCTTTTGCTCAGGTGAGAAGAAGACATGGCACTCAAGGCATGGGCCACAGCAAGGACAGCATTGTAGACATTGTAGCTGTGGCCAGTCATACTCATTTCAAAAAAAAATGCAGGAAGACACTCCAGCTTCTCATCCCCACTGCAGATAAGCCCATCCATATTGCCCAGAAATTGATCTGGGAATACACAACTAAAAGACTGTTGCCAGAATGACCTAAGAAAACCATCTCCATTTGGGCTGGATGGGTCTTTTGCCTTCAGGAACTGTTGAAATCCAGGGACATTATTCGACTGAATTGTAAAAGTAAGAGCACCATGGAAAAAGTCTGTGTTCCATTTCCTTTGAAAGACAAATGATGTGAGCTCCACCTGAGCTGTTGCAATCATTACTTTACCAATTGGTGTATGAGCCACATCTTCTTGTTCTAATAGATAAGGTAAGAATCTAAAGAATGCCATGGAATAGGATTCTCCATTGGCCACCAATACATTGGCTGTGCTGTCCACAATTATATCACGTATTTTTGCACCCTTCTCGAGCATGTCTTTTATATCGGAGCCAAGAGCAGCTTGAGGGAGTTTTTCAATGAAGGCAAAACAGACACTACTCTTGGAAAACAGTGGGAGCACCATTTGGAGGAATTGCTCCCCATTGTCATTATCCATAACGACTATCCCAATCCATGTCCACCCAAAATGCAGCAGCAAAGAGAGAATGCCTGCATACTGAAGGGACTCCCTGGGAGTCATATTGTAGAAGGAAAGGCCTGGGGTTTTATCATTCATCACTGGTGCGGAGCCATAGATGAACTATGGAGGTATGAGAAGGAGAGAAAGAAGTGCCAAATCATGAGGACATTTATGTAACAGTTTTGATGTTCTCAAAAAAAATTGCATATACAACCTCAGCAATCTTCTCAGCAATACTACAATACGGAGATCCACACACGTCATGGCATTCATGGGCACTGTCAATGGTGCCTGGGAAGGGGTCCCCAATATGACAACTTGGGATATCATATTATTTTTCCAGGTTGTGAATGTGTTTGCATCTGTATGTCTCCATTGATTTGTATGGCGATCATACAAATTCCTAGCAATCATTCTGAGCCTTCAACAAGAGTGGACCAAGTACCCAAAGAAGTATGCATGTGAAGAAAGTGTGTGCACACATCCTTCTGTACATATATCAACACATTATCCTAATTGCCTTAGTAGATGAGTGTTGCCTTACTCCGTCTCAGTTTTGCAATATCAGTCTTTAGCCATGAAAAGGTTGTGAATATATGAAAACAATGAATATATGAAAACAATTCATTGCTTTCATATATTAATTTCCATTAAATAAATAAATGTTGTGACAACAGTGGATGAAACAATGAATATTATTTAGTGCAAAATCTGCATGTGTAATCATCCCCCAATGTTCACAAAAAAACAAGTATTAGACGTTTCTAAACCCTGTGTTTACAAGAAGTATTCCCTACATTGCAATATGAAGACAGATCTAATGTAGACAATTCTTTATTGAGGAGACATTGCAGCATCCAATGGACACAAAACAACTGTTTCTCCAGAATAAGGTTGGGAGATGAGAAAGGGATATTTCAAAAGAAGGATTCACTCATTCTAATCCAGTTCCTAAAATTCCCAAATAAGTCCTTGGGTATAAACAGTTGGGCACTACTGCTATGATCAATATGAAAAGGGCAACCTGCACAGTCTCTGCAATATGTATTCCCCCAAACCACTGAAAATAAAGAAGCTTTTTTTCTGAACCGGTGTGATATTCAGAATTGCCTTACACCTTTCTCCATGCTTTCTCCCATGATTAGTGATCCAGACTGGTGGTGAATGCAGAGCCAGATGTCCAGAGTGAAAGAAATGGGCAGCTCGGTCCTTTCTACCTTGCCTTGGGACAGGGAAAGGAAGGATCAAGGAAAATGAAGAGGGTTCGTGGAATTTCAAATTGGATTGGGATGGTTAGGTGAATGTGGTCTGAGATTCTGTCCAGGGCCTCCTGTCTCAGACCCACATCTGGATAAATGAGGGGGTCTTAGCACAATTTCCCCTCCCCCCACATACTTTGCTTCTCTTTCATTGTTGTCATTTATCCAGTGGAGAGAGAGAATATCATTACTTGACTGAGAAACCTCCTTGAGGATATCAGAGACAGAATACCTGGAAAAGGACTTTCTCTGCAGTGGTGCCTCAGCTATGGAATGGGCTCACTAGAGAGGTCTGCCTGGCACCATCATTATATGTTTTTCGAAGAGGAGTCAAGATCTTTTTATTCCCTCAATATTTTAATGTCTAATAGATTTTTATTATTTTAATTGCAGTGGTGAGTTATTTAGTTTCAGGTATTTATACTTATATTGTTGTATTACTGATTCTGTTGTGAGCTGTCCAGAGACCCAGAGTGACTGGATGGGCTAGAAATATCCCAAATAAATCAATAAACATATACTTCCAGTGTACGATTTGTCTTTCCAAAGGAAAAATGCAGAATTGAAGGGCAATGTGAATGGGAAGAAAAGGTTAGACTCCCATTCCCCATATTCACCTAAAGATATGCCCACCTGTGGAATCTTATAGATATCCAAGATAGTTGCCACATGAAGGGAGGTGAGGGCATCCAATCCCCCGATGACTGCCATCAAGTGTTGTTGGGTACCACAGTTGTAGTTTGGGACTAATCTCCCTGCTGCACATATCAGTAGCAAGGTGGCCTGATAGGTCCACTTGGCTGTGAAATAGCTGTCATAGATTTGGAAGCCCAAGGTGAGGTTGGGTAAGATGTGAGGGTTGTCATTGATCTCCTGCACTGCAAATGTCAAGGCCAGGATATGCTGGTAATTCTTTGGCACCACACTACAAGCAGGAAAGACACTTCCTGTATTTAAATATTCCTCACACATTATTTTCTAAGCAGCTCACACTGCTTTTGGCATCATCATTGTCATCATCCTGAGTTCATCTCCAGCTTACTTAACCAGCACCGAGCTGACAAAGTCAAACAAATCTGATAATCATCTTTTGAATAGACTATTTCCTAATTGTTTCCATGGTAAAAGAACTGAAGAGAGTGATCCTAGACATGGTAATCCAGGTATAAGTCTCCAGACTGCAATTGAGCTTCTTTCAAAATGAAGTACATCAGTGCATAATGCCATGAGGGTATCCCCCTTGTTGCCATGGATCATCCACTTCCCACTGAACAGGCTTAGGTGGGAGGCACAGGGGTAGAGGACTGCACTGCATATTACCTAGATTGACATGTTCAGTTATTGAGATTTAAGGCATTAGAATACACATTTGTCTGATCATATCATCATCCTGATTAGGAGAAACATCTTTTAGGCATATGAACACAGTTAAATGATTGTGATGGGCCCAGTACAGAGCACAGGGAACATCATACAGAAAATAATTCCATTTTAATGACAAGGATATAGGTGATGAACTCCATTCCAATTTTACTAGAGGACATTTTTCCTGGGATGCAGCCAGTTTCTTCCTCCTCTAAAAGCAAGGAATCCCATTCATGGTAGAATCTCTTATTATTATTTTGTGCTTCCCCCTCTTTCCATACAGCCACAGATCAGGACATTCAAGGGGGGGGGGTCTGGTGGGGCTGCTATAAGATTGGATCATCTCTTCTGTCATCTTGGAAGAAATGATCCAATCCCCTTAATTATGCAGTTATTATGCATTATGCAGTTTCCATTACAGAGGGCAAAATAAAAAGACAGAGGTGAATTACAGAGATGTTCAAAGAAAAATCCAGGAAGAGAAATAATCCTGAATAGAATTGTGCCAGACAGTAATTATTAGAGGAAATTCCTGAAAATGGAAGTGCAACAGACAGGTTATAAACATAAGGAAAATAATTGTGAAGAAGCTCAAATTCCCACCAGAATGAATCCTTCAGGCTACACAGAACACAAAATTTCCATATCCCTTCAATAGCATGAACCTTCTCTACTGCCCATGACATTGATCTGAGGTTGCATCTGCTATGCCAAATTCTACGGATGAGCAGGTGAAGTAAATGAAAACAAAATATTAACTCCTTACGCAAGCTCATCCAGCAAGGCTAATGCAGGTTTTTCAGCAAAGGTTAATGGATCAGGAATGATGAAGGACAGAGAAGCAATGGCACCAATCATGAGATCACCCAGCTGTGGATACTCATGAAGTGGAGGCTGCGGCTCATGGTTCTTACATCTGTCAGCATCACTCTTGCTTCCTGTTTGGAGAAGCAAGCTCAGAAATACCACTCTTAATTCCCTCATTCTGAGTAGAAGGACAAAACTTTGCTCCTCATGCAAATCCTCTCATTCCCAAGTAGAGAACTGAAACTGCAAATATAGGTTCTTCAGAAAAGTGACTGTTCTTTTTTATCCCTATGATTTAATATCACTGCATATAATGCCACTATGTTTCACCATTGAGTAGAGTTGCTTTGTTCATAAGAAATCTGCAGGGATGTGGAATAGTAGTGGGACTGCCCTTTAGAGAATTAAAGATGGATATAGCAATTTGAAATTAGGTTTGTTGAGGCTAAAAACAGGCATTGTTTTTCACACTTGATGGAGAGCACAATATTTCTATTAGTTTTGTATATGAATTGGGATGGAGTCATCACAAAGGAATGCAGAAATATAATTTTTGAACAGCATTCATTATGCACCCTACTCAAGTTTTTGCTTGTACTGTGGAGTCAGTGTTCACAGCTCCAATGTGGAATGGGACCAGAATGTATGGGCAGGGAAATTCATCCTACTTGTGCAGCTATTTTCTTTGCAATATTTTCCCTACCTTGCCAATAGAATCTTCACATCCACACTAAATTTCTGGAAGCACATTAACAGCTGCACATGGAAGGGGAATTTAATTCTCCACTCCTTCTGCTTTGTGGTCCCAGTGTAAATTGGAAATAATCCCTTTTTAGGTCCAGCACAATTCTTTAAATGATTGTTCAAGCAGTTGAGTAGTGCAGAGTGTGTGCATGTTTGTTTGGCAGGTTTTTTCCCATGGATTTGGATTCCTTTTTCATGGGGTACAACCTTAGTTCTGCTTGCATACGGATTTATCCAATTTCATTAGCTCATTCTTCCTTAAGAACTCAAACCAAAACAATATTTCCTACCCATTTTCTGGTTAGGTGACTTCCTGGACCCAAAAGGGTTGTTTACTCCTATATTATGCATGCTTAGATGTTGAAGGCAGGAACATACATAACAGTTTGGGAAGAGTTGACTTTTTTCTCAAATTTACAATTTGCCCCTGTGAATGCCTGCATCTCTAGGCCTCATGAAAACCTCCAAACTGATTTGCAGCTGATATGGGAAATGAAATAAGCTTGATGGTCTCAACAGATAGTTAAGAGATATAGGGGCTTTCAAGAGACTAGGTTCCAGTAGATATACTATCTTTTCTGAAAAGATAGAAAATAAAAATAAAATTTTCATTGATATAGAAGTTATGGATCAACTTAAGTTGTACAAGGTTAAAGCTTCTTTATTCAATTAAAAGACAGAGACTTTCAATCAGCATGTAGACAAGGGTGATCCACCAGACATTGGGTACTTGGAGTTTGAAGAATCCTTGACAAAGTCCCTCACCCACAATAGTTCCACTTCTGAACTGGTAAGCATGTT